AAGTTCTGGGGGTGGCAGGATGGTTTCCTCACTTGTCCAGAATTAAGCTGTGGGATATGCTGACGTGGAATGTTTGGAGGCCAAATGCAAAGATGGTTCCAAAAAATCACAGCAGCAGGGTGAGAGCTGCCTGCTCAGTGCAGCATCCGATGCAGAACTTATTTGGGCCAAATCCTTTTGTTTCCTGAGTGATGGCAAAAGTCAGAAGACCCCATTAGGCATCGTCAGGTGCTTGTCCAGAATTAAGCTGTGGGATATGCTGACGTGGAATGTTTGGAGGCCAAATGCAAAGATGGTTCCAAAAAATCACAGCAGCAGGGTGAGAGCTGCCTGCTCAGTGCAGCATCCGATGCAGAACTTATTTGGGCCAAATCCTTTTGTTTCCTGAGTGATGGCAAAAGTCAGAAGACCCCATTAGGCATCGTCAGGTGCAGCGCGGGAGGGGAAGGGGGTGCCGGCTGCTGGTGGGGGTTGCTGCTTGCTGATGGCACAGGAGGGAGCGAGCAGTAGAGCTCCATGCCCTGGGAAGACTGTGAGTGAGGGCAAGATTGGTCCAGTGGAGGGTCCAAGCTTCCCGTTGAGAGCATCCCACCTGCCCATCTATTCCCACCTTGGGACTTAGCTGAAAACTGCAGCCAGTATAGTGTAACCATCATGCTGGTTTGTTCCCGAGCAAATCAAGGTCCTGACCCACCGTGGAAATTATTGATGAGATGTTGCCACTGTGGTGGGTCTCTCCATGTGGCGGTCCAGAGGGTTCCAAGCCTCCTGGAGCAGGTCTAGTAAATGTGCTGGGAGCAACCAAATCACACCACCACCATGTCATCTCTCTCATTATTTTGTAGTTTTAGCAGTCGAGGGGGTGGTGCCCAGGACTTTATCAGGGCCTGTCTGTGAGCTGTGACTGTTGCCCTGCCATGATGTCCCCCAGCACCTGCAGGCTTGGAGCAGATGGGGAGCTGTGCTCCTGTAGATCATTTTGTCAGGGGTGGTCACTGAGGTTTTTTTCTTGTCAGTCTTCAGGCCTCCAGGGGCCAAGTCTTGCTCAGGAACTTCTGTGCATGGGGCAATTTCCTTACGTTGCTTAATTTTCAACTGTTCCTCTCTTGCGCCCGAAGCAAAGCTAAAACTTCAGTCCTTTAAAACTGTTACACCAGGAAGCTGTGGTTGGAGAGAAACACTGTTGAACTTACTCTTATCTGGAGAGTTCCTGGTTTGGGACTCACCTGCCAAAGTGGGCGTAAAACCGAGGCCACGCCAGTGCCATCTGCGGGGGATCTGCTGCAGTGACTGCGGGGCACGAGGATTCCTTCTGTGGGTGCAGATCAGGGCTAGGCTGAGCAGATGAAAGGAGAAATTCCAACATCATGGGGTATCCCCAGTTGCTCTTGCTTGGGTGTTGGTGTTGGCAGGAGCTGCCTCTCCTAGAGGAAGGTCTTCTCTGCCTGCACCAGCGCTGGCCTCTGTCTTGCTTCCTCCTTGATCCTGACACGCTCTCACCGTACAGCCAGGTGAGGCTGGTTGGGTTCTTGCCTGGGATTTAATTCCTTCTGACCCGTGCAGTAGCTCAGCTCCCACCTCTGTGCACTTTCACTGGGAGGAAGACTCTGGTGCTGGAGAAGGGCAGGTGAAAGCCGGTGGCTGGGGGGGCTGAAGCTGAAACTGAAATGAAAAAAGAAATTTGTTTCAATATTTTAGCTGTGACTTCATGAACTACTGGTGTGAGTGGCCAAAAGGTGAAGTGAATACTTGGTCTCCATCCTTTAAATGCAGCTTGGACGTCTTTCTGGAGACCACTGAGTCCCACACAGGGTACAGGGTCATGCAGGATTGTTTTGTGAGTGTTAATTCCCTGTCTGTGCAGCCAGATGTGTGAACTGACAGTCGCTCTCAATCGGAGTTTTTCTGCACTCTATGAGAAGGGAGAAGTGTGATGTGACCACAGCACCTGGGAAATCACAGGATGAAAAAAGTTCTGGAGGAGCTGGAGCCACAGGGTCCTCCTGTTCCTTGGTCTCAGCTCTGTAAGGCAGATATACTGGTGCCAGTGACTTCTGCAGTGGTTCAGCCAGCAGCTTCTCTTGATGCTGTGGGGAATTTTGTACAGCAAAGAGTCTAAGTGCCCGCGAACAGCCCTGAGCAGGTAACAGAGCAGCACCAGTGTGGGGCAAAGCAGTAAACACAGCAACAGAATGTCCTTGAGCAAGGAGAGCCCTGGCATGGTGTGTGTTGAGCCTAGCAGT